TATTACAGAATCGCAGCGAGTCCCCGCTAGGTAGCACTGTTGTATTTACATATGTCTAACAGAACAATTCATGTTATTAATATTATTACAGAATCGTAGCGGGTCACCGCTTGGTAGCACTGTTATCTTTATGAATGTCCAACAGAGCAGTGCATATACTTAATGTTATTACATAATCGCCGCGGGTCACCGCTAGGTAGCGCTGTTGTCTTTATGAATATTCTGGATGCTGTTTTCACACTATATTTACAGTAATCTTTTCTTGATGAGGACAAACTGAGTTTCTAGTTACCCATGTCCTTCGACAAGTAAAATCCACTCAATTAATCATCCATGTCATCCGACAGGAGGAATACTGGGCTCTTTAGTTACCCATGATATTATTTTAACGATTTAAATTAGCAATGAAAGGAAATTCTAAGAACATGAATAGATCGAGGCATGTTTTAGTGGAAAACGTCGTCTGAACTATCCGTTGAGCAGAGTTCATTGTATATCAAGGTAAGATTTTGTATTATGATTTTTAGTTTGAAAACGTTTGTCTCGATGAACTGTCATGATTTTGTTTCGCATATTTTCCAATAAACCACAGTTGTAGAGCTAAGCATCAAGCTGCAACTGAATGATAAACATAACTATTATCTTACGTTATTTTTCTCGGTCTTCTCATTTGTTTGTATAATTTCTGTACGGATTTGTATAGCAATTAATTTACGTTTATGATGTTTCATTTTAGATTAAAAACAATTTAATTACTCTTAGTTACGACACCTAATTAAACTGGATCGTGAGCACAAAATCTTAGGGTTAAGAAAATGTTATTAAAACTGGTTTACACTCAATTAAACATGTAAATAAAATGGATGAGAAGTGTTCTGGAATGTTTTTATTTTTAAACAAAATTTTTGACAGAAAACAGAACAATAACAAAATTTCAATATTGTGACTTTTTGTGAAAAAAATATAAGGATTGGAAGAACGAATATTTTGTGTTTTTATTGAGTTTGCTCATATTCTGTTTAAGTTTGAAAACTTCTTTAAACCAAGATGATACGCGTAATATGTGTCTCAGGTTATGACACTAAACTTGGACCTGAGCCAGAAGTTTCACGAGTTAAAACAGTATACCTCTTCTCTGTGTTTAGTTTCTTCTATAGGTCACAGTTACAAACAGTGGGTGAAACTAGCATCATCACAGTTACAAACAGTGGGTAAAACTAGCATCACTATGGTTACAAACAGTGGGTAAAACTAGCATCATTAAAGTTACAAACAGTGGGTGAAACTAGCATCATTAAAGTTACAAACAGTGGGTAGAACTAGCATCATTAAAGTTACAAACAGTGGGTAAAACTAGCATCATCACAGTTACAAACAGTGGGTAAAACTAGCATCATTAAAGTTACAAACAGTGGGTAGAACTAGCATCATTAAAGTTACAAACAGTGGGTAAAACTAGCATCATTAAAGTTACAAACAGTAGGCAAAACTAGCATCATCACAGTTACAAACAGTGGGTAAAACTAGCATCATTAAAGTTACAAACAGTGGGTAAAACTAGCATAATTAAAGTTACAAACAGTGGGTGAAACTAGCATCATCACAGTTACAAACAGTGGGTGACACTAGCATCATCACAGTTACAAACAGTGGGTGAAACTAGCATCATCACAGTTACAAACAGTGGGTAAAACTAGCATCACTATGGTTACAAACAGTGGATAAGGCTAGCATCACTATGGTTACAAACAATGGGTTAGACTAGCATCACTATGGTTACAAACAGTGGATAAGGCTAGCATCACGATAATGATGGTAAATATGTAGTTCAGCCCATGATTTGGTCCTTGTTCTCCTCTTCCGTCTACTGAATAATAATATTTTTTTCATACAGAACGGTTGGCTGTCCTTGTACACGTGTTAGTACATTATCACAATTTTCCTCAATCTGGAGCGTTTCGGGTGGAAACGGATCACCCTGCTGTTAGCGAGCTCCACGTGAGCACGAGCGGAACCTTTTCTGCTGAATAGCTGTATCCTTTTCTGGTGCCAGACCCTACCCTGCACGGCCACGTTATCCCCTCCCTCGTCTGTGAGATCTTAAGTCGATAAAAACGTAAGCTTTTCACAATTAACCAAAAAAAAAAAATTCTGCCGGATTTTGATCTTTTAGTATAATATACCGTAATTCTCTGTCTCGAAGATGGAGGACTCACTCTCATTAATATACCGTAATTCTCTGTCTCGAAGATGGAGGACTCGCTCTCATTAATATACCGTAATTCTCTGTCTCGAAGATGGAGGACTCGCTCTCATCATACTTGAAGTGTTTTAGATCTGTTTAGGAGTGGACGTCATTATTCCTTGAGCTCTAGTAGAAAAGGTTTTGTTCCCTCGACGCTTCTAACAGAAGCTAATGTCGAAAACTATGCGATAGAGAATGGAATATTGACGTGTTGAAAGTCATGATTTTTCGTCATTAGTTAAGGATGTTTGGTATCCAAAAGTGAATTGATAAACAACGATTTATAAACATAACGAAATAGTTTTATTTGGAAGAACATATTACACGTTTGACCTGAAGACGACAGACCAACGTTTTGTAGTATTTTCCTTAAAATAAAACCGTTTCATTACGTTTATAAATCGTTGTTTGTCAGTTTAATATTATATTAGCATAATGTGCTTCCATTCACAGGCAAGTTAAATCCACTACGGCTACGAGAGTTGTTCAGCTCTTTACGTTCTTATTAAATTTTCAAATCAAAGAAAATTAACAAAAATAAAACATAAAATAACTCAGATAAAAATCTGTTTGAAATAGACGTCAGGTGTGGACCTCCTGCTTTGTAACACAATTATTAAAACCGTTAAGAAATGTTTTTATATACAATTCTGTAGGGATTCTGTTTGAGACAAGGATAAACTTCACGTATTTTAACCGGTAATTCTGTAGCAGAGAAGGATAAACTTCACGTAAAGTTTATCCTTGTCTCAAACAGAATCACCGGTTAAAATACGTGAAGTTTATCCTTGTCTCCTACAAAATTACCGGTTAAAATACGTAAAGTTTATCCTTGTCTCCTACAGCACGTATTTTAACCGGTAATTCTGTAGCAGAGAAGGATAAACTTCTACACATTGTGATTGATAAACTAGTCAAAAGTTTCTGGCGAGTTTAAAAGTACAATAAGTGGCTCGTAGAGTGGGGGTTAAACAATTGAGAGGACCGTCTTATGACATTCAGTCTTAACTCGTACAGACCCACTTGTAACCCACACAGTATTAATAGTTTTGGGGCCCAACCGATAAACAATTACAAGTCCTTGAATCTCCACTATGAGTAAATGTTTCTACCAATTCCATCATCTAAAGCAAAGATATAAATAATTACATTAGTCCTAAGTAAAATACATTACAGTTAATAAAACAAACAACGTTGTTCATCTAAAGTGTCTAAAATACATTACAGTTAATAAAACAAACAACGTTGTTCATCTAAAGTGTCTAAAATACATTACAGTTAATAAAACAAACAACGTTGTTCATCTAAAGTGTCTAAAATACATTACAGTTAATGAAACAAACAACGTTGTTCATCTAAAGTGTCAAACATGTCGATTACTAAAATATGGTATACCTACCTGAATGCCCCCCCCCCAGGGGCACAGCGGTATGTCTGCGGACTTACAACACTAGAAACCGGGTTTCGATACCCGTGGTGGGCAGAGCACAGATAGCCTTTGTGTAGCTTTGTGCATGATTATAAACAAACAAACAAACCTACCTTAATATATTGTTGGCTGTTTGGGGGTGGGGGCTAATGCATCCTTACCCCAGTGCTTACAGCTGTAGGTTCTTCGGGGTTACACTTTAATAATCTGCACTTCATTGACAATAAATACGTCTTTAAAATATTTATTATATGAATTGTAAGTTGTTCTAAACCTTTATAGAGCTAAACAGTAACTTCCTTAATGTTTATGTACAAAGTGTGACTGTAAATCTTTAATTCATGGTTCGCGTTCCGTTATCTCATAAATGTGCTGGGCACTTTAGGGCTATGGGTGCATCACAAGAGTGACGGTCCAATCCAACTAATCGATCAGACAAGAGTAGCCAAAGATTTGGCGGTGGGTGCTGACTTGTCTATCAGTTTAAAAGACTATGCATAAAATAGTTCTACTGTAACTTTGCGCCATAATTTCTAGAAACAAATAAATGATTGATTTTCAAGAGTTTTGTGGTAATAACACGAAAACAAAATGTGTACGATTTCAGTTCATTCGTGAAAGTGAAATAACTTCGTTTTTTGCTAAGCAGGATTTTTTCAGTTAATATGTCACGCGCAGAAGCTTTTCTCCTCTGGTTGTGGTACCAAATGGAATTTTGTATTAGTCAACCAACCAGAAAAGTGACAGTTGTTAGGAGGGAAGTGGTTAAGATTTATGTGTCTTGTTACTGCACCATAAAAGTTTGTTTGGAAACTCGACATGCACGATATAAGGTAATTCGTGCTTCTACAAATCTGGAAACCAATAAACTACAACAAGAACTTGAGTCCCTATACTGGGGATTTCGTTAATGTTTGTAATTTCGACATAATACTAATTTATGTGTCAGTTGTCAAAAGTCCCTCGTTTTATTTTCGTGCGCAACACATGCTGCTTTCTTGCAAAGTTTTTTTTTTTGTGCTCAAAATCGAGAAATTAAAAGTTTAAATTTTACGTACTTGCATAAATTATTCTTACTTTTGCTTTAAACAAACCTGCCCCCCAGTGGTACAGCGGTATGTCTGCGGACTTACAATGCTAGAATCCGGGTTTCGATACCCGTGGTGGGCAGAGCACAGATAGCCCATTGTGTAGCTTTGTGCTTAATTACAAACAAACATTTAAACAAACCACGCTCTACATTCATTTTCACCTACAGTTTTAAGATAACACCAGCAACCTGAAACTTGAAATCATTTTATATCATTCGTTAATTCTCTGTTAACATTACATCATCAAAAGGTAAGAACTCCTGTCAGCGATTTGACGCTCATTCGCCAGTTTCCAATTTCTGGTGGTTTGTTGACGCTCATTCCCCAGTTTCCAATTTCTGGTGGTTTGTTGACGCTCATTCACCAGTTTCCAATTTCTGGTGGTTTGTTGACGTTCATTCCCCAGTTTCCAATTTCTAGTGGTTTGTTGACGTCCATTCACCAGTTTCCAATTTCTGGTGGTTTGTTGACGCTCATTCACCAGTTTCCAATTTCTAGTGGTTTGTTGACGTCCATTCACCAGTTTCCAATTTCTGGTGGTTTGTTGTCGTTCATTCGCCAGTTTCCAATTTCTGGTGGTTTGTTGACGTTCATTCACCAGTTTCCAATTTCTGGTGGTTTGTTGTCGTTCATTCGCCAGTTTCCAATTTCTGGTGGTTTGTTGACGTTCATTCACCAGTTTCCAATTTCTGGTGGTTTGTTGACGTTCATTCACCAGTTTCCAATTTCTAGTGGTTTGTTGACGTTCATTCGGCAGTTTCCAATTTCTGGTGGTTTGTTGACGTTCATTCAGCAGTTTCCAATTTCTGGTGGTTTGTACCTCAGGACGACAACAAGAAGAACACTCAGGTAAAAATAGACAAGATTTTGTTAATAACTCGAACAGAAGCAGGATTTAGTGTTGTCCAAAACGATGACCAAATACAAATATGTCTATCTTTAACAACTCGAACAGGAACAGGATCTAGTGTTGTCCAAAACGATGACCAAATGCAAGTATATCTATCTTTAAGAACTCGAACAGGATTTAGTGTTGTCCAAAACGATGACCAAATACAAGTATGTCTATCTTTAAGAACTTGAACAGGATTTAGTGTTGTCCAAAACGATGACCAAATACAAATATATCTATCTTTAACAACTCGAACAGGATTTAGTGTTATCCAAAACGATGACCAAATGCAAATATATCTATCTTTAAGAACTCGAACAGGATTTAGTGTTGTCCAAAACGAT